GATACATTCCCTGAAACAGACTATGAATATCTTCATGCTAAATTCTCCAAGAAGAGGAGAAAAGAGTGTGCGCATAATAGCTGATCCACTCCTTTGTCTTTCACTCTCCATAGTTTATACTATATAAATATAGTTCATGTTCACCACTAATATCTTTCACTAATCTTTCCCACTGCTATCTAAAATCTATTCAAATCTCAGACACCATATAATATTCTAAATATTAAGGGTTTTTCAATGTAATTATTTTCCCTATTTTTTTATCCATAACATTATTTTCTACGATCAATGGACTTTGTCAAATCAGAGCACAAGATCATTCGAAATCTATGCTTATGCCTATATAATATGCTTTGCCTATATATATATATTTTAAAGCGCTTCTGATAGCTAAATGCAAAAAAGATTAGGTAATTAAACTGAAATGTATACTTACTTGCCCAAATTTTATCAAATGATTGCACTTCAGTGAAGTGCTCATGCTAAATAAACAAAGCTTACGTTAACAACTCAACATGCCATACAGCATGATATTTATACAACAGGCTTGGTACACACTGAGCTTAACCATTTGATTCCAGGAGTCATGATTTCCTGACATGCCATCCTAATACAGAATGCATTAGTACTAATGTTGAAACAAAAGATCTACTAATATGAAGGAAAAAATAACTATCTAGTTCATTGTTGATATACTAACTTAAGGGATTGGAGACAGTTACCTATTTATTCTAACCAAGATAAAGTTCTGACTTTATGAAAATAAACTACTTCAATGGAGGCAGTACAGGTAATAGAAATAGCTAAGCTTTTCATAGCTCTTTGGCAAAAACAAATAACATTACAACTAATTGTCCAAATCCCTATGCTGTGTAACCTAGAACAGTATCAGTATTGTGAGCAGATGAGTCTAACAACAAGGATTTGCCTACGTGGAAGGGAAATTGTAGTGCTGTACATGAACACCCACCTGTGGTAACAAACTCATAGCATTTACCTCTAAATTATGCTTGTGCTTTGCTCAAGTCTTTCTCACGACTGTCAGTGTAAGGAGAACGACAAAGCTGCCAGAGTCACAGCCCAGGCTAGGTGACATGAGATTCTTCAGTAGCCATAAGGACTGTTACTTCCTGCCACAGGAGAACGATCTACAGGTTGTAAGAACCAAACTGATGTTTTCCCCCTATTACTTACTGCAGAAATGCAGTAATATGGATTGAAATCCATGAAAGTGGTCAGCTCTCTTCACCACACCTCAATCACACCTTTTCCAGAAAATACGGTAAAACAAAAATCTGCACTATGGAAACCTTAACCTTACTTACGGCAGTAAGTTTTCCAAGTAAATGCTATCATCTTATTACATTCAGGTTAACATCATCTTCAGCTCCCATCCCAAACCTGCCTTAGCTATTCTCAAATATGTCATCAACCAATGCATGTACTGACTGGATCCACTTGATGCATCAGTGTCATGACTGGCATATATAAACATCCTTCAAACACACTTATTTGGGTATCTATACATGAAAGTAAAATCGCTACTACAATTGGTACTCAAGCTTGTCAGATGGGATGTTTTTCTCCTCTGTTTTGTCTAAGACATGCTAATGATTATGCCATCTGCAGTCTGAAACCCAGAAAAATGTAAATCAGAAAGTAATAGTAGATCAAGATAAACGTCTGCACAAAATGATAATCTTTGATAGTATACTGTTAACTCTCTAGTATACATCTCTGTATAACTATCTAAATGTAAACCACTACCCCTTGGAAAAATATGGGAAAACTACTAGATAACGAATTTTTTTGCATTAAAAACTAATACAAATAGATTTGCTAACCAGAACACTTCTCTTTAAAATCTATCATATGGCAAGCGTATCGGTTTAAATCAGTTAAATCAGTTTAAAAAGATTTTTCATGAGAAGCATATAAAAAACATTCACAGTGTTGAAGAAAAATCCCACAGGTTCTCTAAAATCATCCCCTTGGTAAAAAAACAGTAGAACTTGGCCACTTACCGAACACCCTGTTTTTGCAAAGTTGTGGACACAAATTTGAAGGTTTCTTCAATAAGTTTTCAACTTGCTGATTAGCTAGTAGCTGCTGTAGGTCACTAAAATACTTGATACATTACAGAATAACAGGGAGAACATGTATAAATGCAGCATATGGTACCTTCCCCCAAATATCCTTCAAATACAAGATGGCTACTAAAATTAATACCATTTTTCCTTTTTGGCACATGGAACAATAGTGCAGTTTACATCAAAATATGGAGCACATGAGAAGTGCAATGGCAAGGATTACCTAATACCCACATTTGCTTGCAGATGTGTGAGGCAGTTTTAAAATTTTTATAAGGTTTTTAATAGATTTATAATACAGTTCTACCATATCTCCAGTTGCTACATTAGTAAAATGGTCTGAAATTATCGGAAATTAGACATGCACTAATATTAAAATATTTTCAAATACTGAGAGAAGTCTGTTTCCTTAAGCACAAACACAAGCATTTTTCATCTTTTTTTATCTTATAAACCCCAAATTGCTTATACATATTTTGCAATTCCTACTGCTAGGAGATTTTGGCCAAAGTTACCATTAAATCTGGCATAATAAAATAATAGTAATGTACAAGTTTATGACCCATATTACAGTATTTGGTTAAACAGGCATCACGATGCTCAAAATGTGAATTTCCACTCCATAATGAACAATGAAAAGCTCTGTAGTAACAGTAAAAGACAGAAACAGAAAAGCTCCAAGGACTCATTTTCAAAATCTTTATACATCCTTTCCACTAAAGAAGAAAATTAAAACGGAGTGCGCTCATACCTGAATTTACATGTTATTTGATACATAAACCAAAGTCTGGAAGCATATTCCATTTTCCTCTCATATAAAAACGAACCAAATGAAGTGTCCAAGGCTAATGAGAGGCACTGAACACATATTGATCATCAAAGGAAAAGTTGGAAAACAAGAGCAATAATCTTGGCTTTAGGGAGCACGTAACAATTTTGAAAAGAAAATTATTTGCTTTATTTGCTTCTTCCTGCCTCGTAAGTATGGCCCATGAGGCACTGAACCTTCTTGGCAAAGACAAAATACAAGCCATCTCTACAATACACCAGCCCATGACATTTATAAGGCATTAGGCCAAGGTTAGTCCCATGGGAGTAGGAAAGCACAAGACTTCCTTTCCCCATCTCATCATCCCTTTAGGTTGACTGTGTGACTGCCTTTGTCTCCAGAGATGGTTTTCTTTCCTTTCATCAATGCCTACCACAAGTAGTGCATCCCCACAACCCTTCAGCCTTGAAAAGATTCACCAATGGGTGGAAGATATAAACAGAGATGTAGGGAGCTATTGAAATGCTGCAGTTTACAAGTTGGAGAATTAGAGTAAGCTAGCATCGCTGACAAAAATATACTGGGAAAACTGACACTTTTGCTTGTTCCATATAATTCTCTTAGGATCTGGTGTAGGCCTATTTAGATACCTCAGGCTAGAAGGACCTTGAACACTCCCTGTACAGACCTTGCCTTTCAGAATAAGGAGCTGGGGGAACTACTTTCGCCATATTCATTAAATCAATTATCTTTACGATTCGACCCTTCAGGGTCACCAATTTCCCTTTTGAAAATTTAGAAAAATACACAACTCATAAGCTGCTGGATTTAGGACTATTTTTCTTGTGTGCTCGCAGCCCAGAAGAGATTAGCAAAGTGAAGTCAAAACTGAGTAGAGGGAAGCTGAGATGGTCCCAGGACTCTACACCTCCAGATTGGACTACAAGTATAGCATGGCAGAATGCTAACTTGAGATGTTTGGGTTTTTATGTTATTTTGGTTGTTGGTTGTTTTTTTTCCATTTTCTTTATTTGCTTTCTGATGTTTTCTTTTGGTTTTGAGCTTTAAAAGTAAATTTGAAGAGAGATGATGTGAAATATGAAACTGTGTGCCGTGCCTACCATTCCTTCGTGAAATTTCACCAAGTAAAAGAGGAGTATGTAAACTGTACACAAAAATTGTACAAGTTAACAAACTTTACATTGTTCCACCGATGCAAGATTAGACAAATTGTAGTGTCTGGAGCTCTCCCTCCATTATGCTCCACTAAAACTAAAAACCAGATTTTTAAAAAATGTTATTCTGTCAAAAAGGAGGGATTCCCAAAGGTAGGTACTTATTTACTAAACAAAACAAAACTATCACTTATGATCACCCTTTGTCTGCAACAAACTGCAATTCAGCAATTAAAAATCGCTAAACACAGTCTATATGCCATGAGTGAACCAGTTTTGTCAGAAGAATGCAATTTCAAACTCAGAATTCATAACAAATGACCTAAAACCTCAAAAAAAAATTCAAAAATGAAATGCTTCCCATCTGCAAACAGTACAGTATTCTTACCAATGATGAATTTAAAATAATTATTCAGTGCTTAATCTCCCCCAAAATATCTGAAGCCCAACAGCATCCAAGTGTGAAAAGCTATGCCATGTTTTTTCAAAACACAGAAGCAACTCTTCTATAAATTCATGCTGTTGGTACTTCCTGAATAATTTACCATTTGTCACTTGCATATAGTATTGATAGCCTGTCTTGCTTATTTCTTCCTGGGTACCATTTCACTCCTAATCTTAACACAGCTACTTTTACAATTTAATCTATGTATACATATAAACATATCGTGCCAATCTTGCAACATACCTATCAATAATTCATTAGAGCCATAGCTATTCAACTCAATCCGCATGTTTATTGTAACAGACCTTTCAAGTATCTATAATCACAAAACGCCTTTCTACCTTCTGATAAATTCTGCCTGTGAATTAAAAGTCACCAGCGTGAAGGGCTACCACCTCCTTTATACAAATACGCAGCACTCGGCATCAGAGCACAGGCACCAACACACACACCACACGTGTGAGCAAGCACAGCACTCTTCCTTCCAAGTGAGGCCCCAAAGGCAATGATCCTTTACTAACCTGCAGTGGTCTCTGTTTATCAGTGCCTTTAGGAGACTTCAGTCCACTTGTCTGTTGCTGTAAAAGCAGCTGTCTTGCTGCCTGGAGTGCCTAAAAGTTCATATTAAAAAAAAAAAAAAAAAAAAATGTAAATAAGTTCCACCATTTCCTAGAAAGAGATGAGTTAATCATTGTTAATGTTAGGTAAAAGTCCAATCAAACAAATGCAATCTTTGATGTGTATTTGCTAGATTTCAGGAGCCAGTTTGCATTTGTTTTACTTGAAGCATAAAAAAGGTCCTCTGAAAGTATGCATATAGGACTTCACTAGAATTTATGGATTTATGGATGTACATGAAATCCTGCAGGAAATAAAGTTAATTTGTTTAAAGTGCTTGAAGAGGAAAAATCATAAACTGCATCAATAGCCTCATTTCCACAAGGAACTTGTCTTTGAGTGTTCAACTAAAATGCCCACTCCCTTGTAAATTATCATTCAATTTGCATTTTCATATTACAATTTTGAAGCAAAAGCAAGTAGACTTCAAGTGTTACCGGAAGCTGTAATTAAATTTGACAAATCAACATCAGATTATCTTGAAAGCGAATTAATAAGGATATTCATTGAAGATTAAAAACAATTTTTGTACTTACAATTCAAGGAGAAACCTCTCCTTTGACAAAATAAAGTGCAGTTTTAATGCCAAATAAAAATGAGTGGTTTTAATTTGCATTTTTAGGGAAATCGGAGAACAAAGAAATTATTCCCCAGCCAATCAGAGCAGGCTCTGGGATGACAGCATCCCAATCAAAATATAAAATGTTTTCATTTATTTTGTGTTTTCATTCCAACTCAGCAAAATACAGTTAAACATGTGAAAAGTAAACAAACGCTCAATTTAGCCAAGGAAGGCTAAACATTATTTTTCCTTGTAAAATTTTTTAAATGCCAAGTATTATAAAATGATATTTATTAAGAAATGAAAAACAAAGGGGCATTTACAGTGAAACTGCCTACTCTTTTTCTTTAAAAATCAGTCCAGTAAATAGAACCTGCAGTTTTATGATGCATCACCCTATTCTTTACGTTGTTCAAAACGCACTGTACATAGAAAACACTTCAATAAAGGCGATTTGATCAACATTCCCTAAAATAATAAAGATTCCCAACTGATAAAGAAAGGTACAATTTTGATTAGACTCAAATGAGCTGGTTTTTAAGATAGTTTCTAGTATCCATGACAACAGTTGCTTTGACAAGATGTGCATATGGCATTACACTGCCAGCTGGTGTGAACAATGTTTGAACTACTGCATTGAGATGCTGAGCAAACAGAAAAAGTTGCCACGTCTTAACCCTCAGGGAAAGCAGTCATCCCCTGATCAATTATGAAAAGACAGAGAGAGGGCTGCTACAGTCTGGCTCCAAGCAAGTTTTCTGAGGAGGCAGGCAGACACAGAAAACCAAAGTAAACAAACTGAATGCACTAGCACCATCTCCTAACAACATTGATTCGTCTCCCTGTAGAAGGCTCTGGTACAAAGTTTGCAGAGCATACTTTTAACATTTGGAGACATTCTCACAACAATCCCCTTATTGTTTCATCAAATTCTCAAGTAATTACAGGTCAGCTTTACAAAGACTATACATTCCTCCGAACCTAAGCAACCAGACACACATAACTAGCTTTTCCCCTCCAAAAATAAATAAAAGTTAACATATTTCAAAGTGCACTTGAAATATTTTGTTACTAAGGAGTCACTGGATGCCTGGTTTCCTGTGTGAACAGTGTAATCTTTTTTGCACTCACAGCTCTTGAGCAGACCCTGAAGGACGGCCCTGCTCTGTCTGAGACCAGAGATAAATATCAGTTGATTTTGGGGGCACCAGGAACTGGTCCCAAGATCTTGCATACATTTAAACAGAAAACATGGAATAAGTGCATGAACAGAAGATCTATAGCAAATTTATAATCCTTCCTAATCTTTAGAACTGTCTGAAAGGGAAATTTGATTGAATGAGAGAAAACTATTGCGCTTCCAAATTAATAGGAGGCTGTACAGCGAAACCACCCTCCCCAAACAGAAGAATTTTGCTACAAGAACAACTGAAGAGATCCAGAATTAGGTGATTGGGGAAAAAACACCCATAAAATAATTATTTTTTTATTTATGACAGTAGCAGAAAGTTCATTACATGGGCTTTATATGGGAAAGAAAGTGCAATTCTTTAATGCCAATGCATACTGTCACTGCAAGTTGTTTCAGTGTCCTCATCCCCCTCAGCAGTAGAGTCATCTCACGCCAATACAAAAAAAAGAAGCAAGCAAGCATCTGGTAAAGCTGTACATTTAGAGTACTTGAAAATGAGAGGATTATAGTATGATGTGGCTTATATTTAAGCTAGCCAGTATAATTTCCAATTGTGTCTTGCATACTCCCATGGAATCAGTGTAAGAAAATACGAATTCCTACCACTAACTACAAAGAGTCCCACTTTATGAAGAAGCAAGACAGCACAACAGGATATGTTTGCACAAAAGCCTCTTCTACTTAAATTATTTTGATTTATATACGCTGGTTGAGATATTTTTAAAGGAGTAAAGGCTCATCTTTTAATACAGAATGACTTACAAATGATGACTACCTGAATACTTCAGTGATCTTATTGTGGCAGTTTAGATTACTGTAAACACCGGAGACAGAAAAAGAACAGAAAACAATTTCAAGAGATCAGAGATGATTTAAAACTCATAAGGAGAAATCACTGTCAGCCTTTGTTCTTATAGACATTGTCATATAGTACTTTTTCCTCCCAGTGTGCCACTTAACTTTAGATACTGCTACCTCGTAAACAACCTCCCAGAAACACATCGTTCATTTCAAAGAATTATTACTGACATTATTCATATGTGAGGACTATGAGACTGTAGAACATTCAATTCTACCAATTCATTCACTGCCACTGCATCTTTGCAAAACAAACTGACAGCTTGAAAGCGTCTTTCAAAATTAATAGTTTAACAAGTACACTTAAAGCAAGCCCCAGTCCCACATATCATCTCTTCAATGCACTAATTTGATAATAAGCTGTGGTCTAAAAGCAGTTCAGTGAAGACAAACTAACAGATGTTTATAAGTCTGGCAGATCAAAATCATGTTGTGTCCTACCTCAAATTAACAGCCTACATTTGGTAGGTACTTTTCCTAAATTGAGTTATATAAACTAGTAAAACAATACAAAAAAAAAAAAAATGCAAATGAAAATCATTATAATGCTTTAAGTAGCGTCCGTATAAGCAGGAAATTTGGGCATATGGTTTCCAGAACTCACTGTGTCTTCTAGTAAAATATTTATAGGGAACACTACTTCTTAATATTTACTGCACAGCTTTGGCATAGCTGAAATGTAAGCAGAACTAAAATGAAATTAATTGCATATAACTCACTCTATTAAACTTGATAAATTGCAGTAGATTTTGTAATTTGTTGGAAATAATTCTAGGAGACACAACTTGCTTTTATTCTGTATTCCAAACCGTCATATCTGATTTAAGAATGTCTTAGAATGATTTGTAAAAGTTTTCTCATTTTAATAAAGTGAAAGTTGCCACTAAAAGGAAGTAAAGTGATCATGTTGTTTTTTTGTAAAGTCAACATAAGTGTATTTTTAGGAAACAGATGTCACTCATATCTTTCCTTTAAAAATAGGAATGTTTAACCTATCAGCCTGTTGCATTTGAGTCGCAAAAATGAAAAATGACATCTACGCCCATTAATATCGTCAATGTATAAACAGCACAGCGTGACACATTCTTGAGAGCTGAAGGCTACAAAATCTCTCTGAAACATAAATAACAAAGCACTCAGAAGCATATTTGATGTTGATATTCATCTCTGAGAAAAACACTGCTGCCTAGGCTTCTTATGAAAATAGATGCAGCCCAAATAGATCTCCTGTAATTGGTTTCAGATAGCGAGGTCAAAAGAAATATGATACAAGAAACTATTATGTGGAACAGGCGAAACAAGAATGTTTATACAGGCACTCCCTATTTATACTGACAAGAGGTGTATGCTTTGCAGATAACCAGAACCAAAAATCTTACCAGAAGACAACCAGATTCTGTCCTTTTTCTAACTCCAAATCCCTGTTTTATTTTTCTCGTATGGCTGCGTACTCTAACATTCCAGCTGAACAAAAAAATAAGTTTCTGAACATTAAATAACTTTCCAAATGGCTGCATATGTCAAACAAGAGTCATCTCGCTGGTAGCACTATGGAACCGAAACGTATCAACATGCTAAGCTGGATTTAAGGCCAAAGACTGCACTGCACTGGTTGAATAACAAGTTAACCGAATGATTACATGGCCACATTTATTATAAAAATCACTTCAGTAGAACCTCTGCCCCTCATGTCCTGCTGTGTCCATCCTCCAGCTGGCTCAGCCCAAGAAGCTCAGAATTACCTACAGTCATGTGAGATCTGTGAAAGACTCTGACAGAAAGATAATGCTGCTCAAAGCTCTCTAATAGCCTTCCAACGCTACTGCTGAACTTTTGTCTCTCGCTGACTGTATTTTCTCCAAAAGATCTCTAATGACTATCACAGCCAGCCAGCATGGTAGCTTATAATCTTTCCAAATGGGGTAACAAAGCATTTAACTCTATTCAAAGAATCTTTAATTTAAGACTATCCATCTGCTTTCCAACTGCAGCCCCTCCAGGAGAGCTGACAGGAAAAGCCAACACCCGAACGCATCTTTATTTACCTTACTCAGCAACACTGAAGTACACGAAGAAGATAAAATCTTTGTCTCTAAACCGTGTGGGAAAGATAAAACTCTAAAGCCTGCCTGCTGAGGACAAACGTGCCCATCCGAGAGCCCATGAAGTCAAGTCCTTGACTTCACAAAACTAAAATACAAGCCACATAACCAGCCTAATTTCATTTATGAATGGTAGACTGAACAATTATTACAGAATTTTCTTATAGAAGTACAAACATGGTAACAGGTAGCTAAGGCTGTATTCCTCTAGGAATACATCACCAAAGAAATCAAAATGATCACTAAGAATTAAGTAGAAATTCACTCAATTAATCCAGC